CTTGCAAAGTTCCCTGATGTTTTAGAAAATATTTTGTATTATAGAGGGTGTTGTGTTGTTTGTTTGTTTGCTTTTTTTTTTGATGGGGGCTTTCACTCACACATACTAGGCAAGTGCTTTCCCACTAAACTACATTCCAAGCTCATTTTACTCTGAGACAATATCTTGCTAAATTGCCCAGTTTGACCTCCAACTTGCAGTCCTGCCTCAGCTTCCCGCATAGCTGGGATTACAAGAATACATCACTGTGTCCACTAAGAGGTGGTTTTCTTTTGCTTGTCTGTTTTTTGTTTTTGTTTTTAATAGCATGAGTAATGAGAAGAACCAGAAAGGCAAAATAGCAGGAAAGGTAGATGTTAAGTCTAGTTAACTTAAAAATTATCATTAAACTACAGTGGGACCTTGGTTCATGAACTTATTTTATTCCAAAGTTTTGGAAAAGATGGTTACATTGGTGTTTTTGCAGGAAAGATGGTAGAGGTTGTGTTGCGGTGGTTGGCAGTGGTTGTCACCCAATTCAGAATTTGCAAACAAAAACAAAATTTTGTCAAATTGTTTACAAACAGAAGTATTCATGGATCAATATACCACATAATTGATTATTACTACTTAGTTTGAATCCATTGAAATCCTTTTAATGTATGTTTATTAAATATATGCTTATATACATCTCTTTTACATGTAGTTTTTAGAAAAGATTTTTTTTACAAATGACTCTTTAGTCTGTTTTATGGGAAAATATTGCATTAACCACATCTACATTTCAAATATAATTATTCTACAAGATTTCTTTAAATTAATGCATTGTATGCTTCTATGTGATTAACTTTATCAGTTCCTTCTCTTAACACTTTCATGTAAATTCCGTTTTCATACTATGTACAATAATTAGCATATTTTAAAATAGAAACATATAGCTTTTGTTCACTGTCTTTTGTCTGAAACATGCATTGATTTTTTTAAAAAGCACATATACATATATGTATACATAAACTGCACATGTACAAACGTATAATTTAAACACAAATTTTGATACAGTAGTTGTTTTACAATGGAAAGTTTTTTTTTCTTTTTTCTTTTTTTTCTTTTAAAAATAAAAGGAGGAAAACATTAGCAGACAGGCAACATTTTACAAAATAGCAAAAGAACAGTACAGACAGTACGGAGTTACAAACAAAGCGGTAGGGAATTAACAATGCTTGTTGTATTACATATTGATATCTTCAAAGTGGTTTCTCACGAAAACAGATATAGACATGCAATGCTGATCAACCAAGGACTCATTGACAGTTTCTTTCAGCAAAGAAATACAAGACAGTAAAACAACCATGTTAACTATCCTACATATACATACATAAAAAATTTCTCCTTCTTTCCCTTCTCTTTTTCCACATCCCAGTTGCCCTTTACCTTTGAGTGCTTTCCTATCAATTCATAATGTCTATCGTATCTCCTAGTTTAAATTAACTCTTTCAGGTTTTACACTAGTGAAACAATGTGGTGCTTGCACATGTATGTTTGATTTATTTCACTTATGAGTATAGTCTCTAGTTGTGACCATTTACCTATAAAAGCCTCGAGTTTATCTTTCTTTACAGCTAAGTAATATTCCATTATATAAAAGTACCACAATTTTCTTTTTTTTTTTTTTTTTTTTTGGTTTTTCTCCGGTACCGGGAACCGAACTCACGACCTTGCGCTTGCCAGGCAGGCGCTTTTGCCACTGAGCTAAATCCCCAGCCCCAGTACCACAATTTTCTTATCCAGTCCTCAGTGGATGGACATTTGGGTCACTTCCACATTTTAGCAATTACAAATTGTGCTGCTATGAATATAGGTGCACATATATCACTGTGATACGATGTTTTTAGATCTTCTGGGAAAATACCCAGCAGGGGGATAGCTGGGTTGAATGGGTACAATGGAAATTTTAATGAAAAGAATTGAATGTAACATATTTACTTCATATATCTGCTTTTAAAACATACTATAATGATATACATATTGTCAGAATGCTAGTAAATATATACAACTTGAGGAAAAGGGAAATAATAACACTGTTTGATAGAAAATGTTAAATGCAGAGAGAAAAGACTAACAAAGTATAAAGCATAAATATCAACTTCTTTCATTTTTATTTCTAGTTTAAGTTTTAATTAGGAACATAAAAACTGCATGTATTTATGAGGTACTATATAATATATATATGTACATTTATGATTTTCAAATCAAGGTAAGTATTTCTATCCCTACAAACATTTATAATTTCTTTGTGTTGAAAATGCATTATTAAAATAGAGTGTGATTCAAACAGAATACCTATTAAAATTAAATATGATTTTAATACCTCAAGGCCTACTGGCTAGTATATAATCCACGATCAGCAGGAAAAGCAATTACTTATTTAGCAGAATATTTGAAGAGTGTAAGCTACCTTTTGCTTAACACACTATATTATTATAGTAACTGATCTTACTTCAAAAAAAGCCTTAATTGCTAAGCATATATGAAAATAAATAGGTAAATCAAAATATTGATAACAACAACAGAATTAAAAGCTATTACATTTGGAAAACAGCCAAAGGAAAAGTAATTTTATACTTCTATATTATACATTTATAGTTATTACTCATTTATAGCTACTAAGGTAAAACAAAAGAAAGCAAAACTTCCATCTATAAGAATTTTCCAGAAGTCCTGAGTCTTAAACACACTATTTTCTAGTCAGCTTCTCTTTATCATCATCAAAATGACATTTCTTTCCGTGTAGTTTTTATTTTGGAAGTTCAAAACATTTTAATCCTACATTCATGAGATTGAAGCATTTAAAAAATAAAACACAAGTGAACACTAGTCTTATTTTCACCATTGTCGTCTGGTTTGTTCCTCTTATTGCCATTTTATTTATTTTTTATAAATAAATTGCCATTTTGTAAAGTTTCTAGAAAATAGTCCTTTCAAGTCAAACTACTCAAACTATGGTGTGATGGATGTATTATTCGGGATGCTCTTTTTTCTGTCACTCTAGTTACCATGAAGATATTTCCACGTCAGTGCACGAGAGCTGGTTTGCTCCTCTTTTTCTGTGCAATGACAATCTATTGTGTGGTGCACAATTAATTCTTTAGGTGGTTTCTTATCAATGGTACTATTTGTTTTCCAATCTTTTTTTGTTTTTTTCTCAATATACAGGTTTATTGACAGCAGAAATTTCCAAATATGGTGTTGCTAGGGCAAAATTAATTAATACCATTTAACATAACTCAGTATTTCCTAAGAACAGAACCATTATAGTTTATCTATACACATTTCATGTACTAGACACACAAAAACAAAATTATGTCTATACTAGGCAACACGAATTATTGAGGACATGGAACAGCAACAATGTATTTTTATGAACAGGTTTAGCATGTATTGTACCATATTTTGCTATCTCTAATTACAACTGAAAACTGTATATTTATTTCTATAAATTTCATTCATTTGATGATACAGCTTCAAGATACTCTATCTCCAGTTAATTTTGTTTTCCATGGAAAATGGTTTTTATACTTCAAATTTCATTTATTTCTTAATATTGAGAATAAACACCAAAGTTCATAATACAGAAATAATATTTAAACTGTAGCCTTCGATATATGCAATGTGAGTTTGCTGTGGATTCTTGCACTGAAGAGTCACAAAGGAACTTGGTGATATTGCATTCAAAGTCCCCAAATTTTACAGAATAAACTAGATCATCAGAAGCTAATTGACTTATCTATTACTTCTTTTTGAATTAATTTTTTTAGTGTCTTACAAATTAATATTCAATACATGAATATCTCTAAAAGTGGATAATTTGCTTAACATATTTGAACGATGGACAGTAGAGGAGGAATGATTCCTGGAAGTTCTGATATCCATGTTAGGCTGTGAAATTTCACTTGAGGAGGCTGACAAGGTAACAATTACTGATTGAGGTCTTAGTAGTTCTTAAAACATTTCTGTAAGGACACTAAGGAAAATGTAGCTCCTAGGATCATGTGTGTAGACCTAGCTTCCCTACTCTGTGAAAACAAACCCGAACCTTTCCCTTCCTCATCCCCAGAGTGCATAGAGTGTCCTCCACAGTAGAGGGATGCCCACTAAAGAAATGATTTACCAACACACAGAAAAAAGTAGGATTATAGAAACAATAACCTTCATCATTATATTCCTAAGTATATTTCGTGAGTGCTAGTATGATAGACACTAGAGGTTCTTAGTTCTTCTCTGAAATCTAAAGCTCTAAGACTATTATAATTTATATTCACTTGTCAGATGTGACAACTTGTCTCCAGTTTGTACTAAATGGAATAAAGCAGCCTAAATATAAAAATGGAATAAAGCATATAACCGTACCCTGAAAAAAGCTCTTGAGATTGCTTTCAGCATTTAAATTTTTACCTTGGCTAATGGAAAATGAAACACATTAATGTAACTCAAAAATGTCAAGTTTAGAACAAAACATATATTAGAAACAGAAGAGCATATTTTGAGACCTTTTAAAGTGCATGCTTAGCTTTCTGACATGACTTGCAAATTGAATCAGAACAAAACTAATGGGATCAGGATGCAGATGAGTGATAAAGCACTTTATTAATATGCAGACAGCCCTAAGTTTGCAGGAAAGAGAGAAAGAAGAAAGAAAGAAAGACAGAAAGACAGAAAGAAATTTTTTGCATTGCTTTCCCCAAAGAGACCTATGACCTCTGAAATTAGATTTGAGTTAAAAAACATGTAGTTGATGATTAAAAGTTATCAAGTGCTCAGAGTTAATTCAAATAAATATCCTGTCATTTAAATTAGGAAGCCTTTTTATATTATTTATATGCATTCAGGTAGTTCTTAATTGATTTCTTTAACCTGCTTATAAATTCTGAAGTTTTATATGCATAATGATACAGATATAAGTACATATACAACTGTAAGTATATGTATATGTATTTATTTTGAAGATATGCTTTTGTACTTACATTTGATTCCCAAGAAAACAGATGTTGTTAATAAACACACGCAGAAAATACATGAAATCACCATCAGAGTACGCCATGTTCCTGAAAATACAATAAGAACACTGAAATTGGGTGAGGAACATTACATGACAGATGAGGGTAAGGATATGATAAAATTGAGTAGTAGAAGATCTTAATACTGAAGGTTCCTACTGAAGAATTGTTAAGGCACTGGAAACTGTAATAGCATAAGAAAATCTTTGCTTAAACTCTCATGAGATCTATAGCTTGGGATGCATCTGATTTGGAAAATATAAAATTAAATAGATTCAGCATTATATTTCTCCAATCCTTACATAGAATCTCACAATGTTGTTAACTAATTATATGCATTCTTTTTTGAACAATTTTTAGGGGTTATCACAAGCCGTGTAGCAGTGGTGAACTTCTGAGGACAGGCATTCCATGTCAGGTGTTCCTAACCTTTTCAGTTTCACTTGAACGTGATCAATATACACTGCATGTTCATCCTCATAACTGTACATTAAATATACAATTTTGAATGAAGAACAAGTTTTCCTGGCAAATTTTCCAACTTAAAGGAAGGAAAGGTGAAGAATGTATGATTTGCTATGTTCTAAAGATGTCATTAAATTAAAGATTAGGGATAGGAAGATTAGCCTGCATTATCTGGGTCGTGGTAAGAAGATGCAGGAGATTAGAAGCAGAGTGTGATGCGATAAGGGAAGCAGAGGACAGCAGGAGATGTTATGCTGCTTGATTTTTGCAGATGGAGGGAAGGGCTAAAAGTCAAGAAGCACAATAAATGCCACTCTAGAAAAGTAAAAAGTAGGGAGTAAACCCCTCCTAGAACTCTACCAAAACCTTCATTTGAATGTAGTGAAATTAATTTCAATTTATAATCTCTGGAGCTTGATAAAATAAAAAAGTTGTAGTCTCTAGTTGTTTGTTATAAAACCAACGAGTTTGGATATTAAATAATGCAGACAGAACTGATCACTATAGACAACGCTGGAACACCGAGATTTTGCATTTTGACCCATTTTTTCTTTATTTCTTATTTAGTAACAAAATCCCTTCCTAGCTTTCTTATTTAAGGATGCAAAGTTCTTAGTACTTATCAGATAATTTACAGAGCATCTATGTAAGTAAAATAATTAAATTATGTGCTTTCCTTCATTTATTATCCAATCCAGGAATTGTCTTTGAGGGATACAGAAAGAGACCCACATATTTGGCCAATTCACCCCTCTTTCCCTTTTCCATCCTTACTCTTCTACTTTATTTCATTTAGTGTAACAGGCAGGCATACTGCAACAAGAAACACAGCAGAAACTAATAATTAAAACTAGATACCTGAAATTTTGGTGGAAGAAAGACATTTCTGAGAAGAGTTTGATGCAGGATTGTCCCACTGAAGAGAGGTGTATATTTCTTCCTCGTGCATGACTATGATGCTTTGATAAATAAAGAAGCCGGTCAGGAGGTTGCTACAGGTTGAGGAAGTTGAGCAGCTGGGGAAAGAACTGAAATTGGCTACCTTTTCACAGTGGTGGGAAAATATGTATGGATTTCACGAGCAGAATGAGTACATTTTCATCCAGAAAGTGGAAGCTCCAGAATGTGGAATTTTTTAAAGTTTAAACCAAAGCATAATTTGATAAAGGAGGAAATGAGAAGGCACCCAACTCAGAACCGTCAATGATAAAACATCTTTTGCTCTTGTTTCAGAAATGTGGCAATTTGAAGGCCGCAGCACTGCATTAGCATGAATCTGAAAAGGATACAGATGCAAAGCAGGCATGTCTTTGGTGTAAGGCATGAAACACAACTTAGAGAATGAGGACGTGAAGTAGCTCACACTGGGCAAACTACAGTGTGGATCACTTTGCATCCTTAAATAAGAAAGCTAGGAAGGGATTTTGTTACTAAATAAATGTATATGATCTATGTTAAGTACTATCATGCTAAGTTCTGTGCAAAGTAAACCTCAACGTATCAGTTAACACTAGAAATGTTTATTTCTCACTCATATAGCAGTTTAACTCCAGTAATCTTGCTTGGTGGGTAGCTTTCCTCCAAAGGAGACCTGGCCTTCCTCCATCTTGAGAGATATTGGAAATCTCTAGTTCTATCCAGTGGAAATGGAAAGAGAAGGTGAACAAACCATTGATTTTATTTCCCCCCCATTTTTATATTTTCATTAGGTTATGTTTACAGTACAATGACTATTCTACCCCTCATATGGAGAGGTGCATGTGCACAACACACACTTGCTACTTGAAAGCTAAAATCTAGAAGTAAAATGTGTCACAACCACATCTACCTATGATGAGTTCACATATGGATATAAAGTTTGGATTTAAAAAATGTAATTTTTGCTTGAGCACCAAGCTTGCAATATAAGTAGGCATAAATTATTTAGTGGGCAAAGGACTATCTCTGTCACATCTTGTGAGGCCAGCATTGGTCCTGAGAAATTTGATCCTTTGATCATCAACATCTTTGGGTCATTTGTCCTTATGACTAAAAGAATGTCTCAATAATATATAGCCTGCAAGCCCTATAACTTGCAAAACTGCAAAGTTATTTTTGTTTCACTGTCTCACTGGATCAATAACTGTGCCCAGTAACAGTCAAGTTCTCAGACGCAAACAAAAGCACCCTTGAGGCAGATCCAAGGGAATTATCAAAAGGACTGCTGATAAAGTTTTGAAACATGAAGAGAAAGAAAAGACAGTGTAAAACGTGCACTGAGAAACTGTTATCTGCCTCAGGTTTAAAGGACCAAGAGAAGTGCATTACTAGAATCTTGTGACCTGAGCCCACAGGCTAAGACATAGAATATTCAGCCTTTGCCAAGCACTATAAGGAGAGACATATCCTACTTCACTTACTCCAATGCCTGTCATTGCTTGGATTTACTAGCAACCAAAAGTCAAGTTTGTGCAGATAATGTGCTCATTTCACTTCAGCTGCTCACGAGAGGGTCTGCAGAGACAAATGAAAAATGTCTAGCACATTGCTCAAACATTTCATACTCTTGTGCCCTGAGAATGAAATCTTAAAAACCAAATTTTCATGGAGACTTTACAATGAGCTAGGTTCTATGTTGAGGAAAAAAAAAAAAAGAGGAAGAAGCCGTTATCACAACAACTGTGAAATGAGAGTGATGCCAGGAACAAGAAGTGCAATTAGCCATTATGCATTTCTGGTTTTAACACAAAAAGTCAGGCTAAGAACGATGTGATTTTCCCAAATACAGTATATTCTCTGAAAGGCTTATTGAGGGGAATTGATTTTTCTCAATAAAAGACTAATATGTTACTTACATTACTTTTGATGTTTTAAATCACACCCCTGTTTATTGTTCATTCCATTCCGATTACTATTTCAAAGAGCTATCACATGAATTATTTTGACTTTCCTAACAGTTCTAAAAAATAAGTACTACTATTACTGTAGTGTAACTTAATTCAAATAGAGGCATAGAGATCTTAAATTTTACTGAAGTTCATTTATCAGGTTTTACATTTAGTATTTGAAACTAAGTTATTTGATCACAGAATTTTTTACTATAAACATCTGTATTATTCTGACTTCATATATAAAATGTTTTAGATACAAATATCAGAAAAAAGAATCTTTGTAGGCAGAGTTTAATTGATTTCTGTGTTTTATTTGTGTTTTAGCCATGAACTGATATAGTATTCTTCTAAATTTGTGAGTGTCATAGTGGTATATAAATATATCATTTCCATTCTGGAGAGGTGGAACAGAGAAATGGTTGAATTGAGGGCAGTTTTCTGAATTATGACTTCCTCCTCTGAGCTTATCTAAATAAGAAAGTTAAAAATAAAATGTAGGGGCCTGGGGATTTAGCTCAGCAGCACAGCGCCTGCCTGGCAAGCACAAGATCGTGAGTTCAATTCCTGGTACCGGAAAAAAACCAAAATCAAAACCAAAATAAATAAACAAATAAATAAATAAATAAAATGTAAAATTTTCTGGGTTCAATATCCAGCAGTGAAAGAAAGAAAGAAAGAAATTTTTCCAAAGCCAAAATCTCTTGGAGTGGCAGAGAGAATCTGAGGAATTTCTGCTACTTATCTTCAGCTTCTCAAACTTACTTGTTTATTGACAGTTTAAACAAGGTAAGGCTCAACTACGTTCAGGTGTTAGTGCACAAAGCTATAAAAGTAACATGTGTTTATCAAGTACTTATTACATGCTTGATTCTCTGATCAGCACATTATACTATTATATGATATCCTCTAAGGTATTCTACCAGTAAAGTAATTATATTAACACCATATCATAGATGAGGAACTTGCATTTTAAGGAAGCTAAGTTAATTATCCCAAACTCACATAGGGAGTAGGCTCTAAAGTAATGTTTCTGGAAATATAGTAAAATCTATTTGTGTAAAAACCTGATAAAGATGTGTGTTAAAAACACAGGGCTCTGTGTCTTGTTTTTCTGACTACACCATTAGTATCTGTGCTTCTAAATCATCATATTTAGACAACAGCTCAGGTGACATGACTGAATCACAGTCATCAGCTGTACTGATACCAGCTAAAAAAGGGAAACTGGGGGAAAGAGATGCATTTTTTGGCCAGTTATCCTGTAAAGCTGTGTCTCCACATATTCCATAAATATTTTCTGGGTTACTCAGCAAAAGTCAAACATAGAATTGCCAGGAAAAAAACCAGATAAGACATTCACATGTTCTTCTGCCTTCTGACCTCTTGTTAAGAAGCATTTACTCACTTCACAACTCCATGAGGTTTCTTTCAAACTTTATTTTCCCTCTTTTACACAGAAAATTGCTACTGTTGAGTCTTATCAGAGGTGGGCTTGGAATAGTAACTCTATTTGTACAGTGTTTTACTGGTTAACGTATATTCAGTGAGCTGACTCACATAATGAAAAGCACATATTTTTCTGTTGCCTGAGGATCAGACTCCGTGGTTGTGCTAGGAACAGAATGGAGAATAGAGAAGTCATGGTGCTGGTCTTGGAGTCTGTGATGTAGTTAATACTCTGAGGCCCTAATTTAAATGGGAGAAAGTGAAGGTTAAAGAGGCTGCACGACTGGTTCATGGCTATATTTCAGTCAATCAACCATACCATTCCAATTCCTCTTCATATTCTAAATTTAGAGTTATTTCCACTTTATAATGTCTTTGAAACCTAGATATTTTGTGCAATTTAAATCACCTAAGCCCAATCATTTCTTGTCCTAATTTTAATTTTATATGCATATATCTGAAGATGCAGGGAACTACAGCATGTTCAAATACAGTAATTAGAAATGGAAGACAAAAAGAAAGAAAACTAAAGGAAAATAGAGCAACTGAAAGTGAATAATCAACCCACAGGTTGCCTTCTAAATGGGCAAAGAAGAGATTAAGTGAGTAGTGCTGGAGGAAAAGGTAATATAAAAAAATGACTCCCAAGAGAAAAAGAAAAAAAATAAGCAAATTTGTGGCTTGGGATTCTTTCATATAGAAATTTTATTATATAAAATCTTGTCTTATACCATGTCCATCTTTTTGGCATTAAAGTAGTAGGTACACATTCATCGTGCCAGCCTTCCTTTCACATATTAAATCGTGTCTGTTCTTGCAAAAGGTAGGGTGGATTTTCCCATTATGAAAATAAGCACAATCCATGTTTTCTTCTCCATCTTCAAAATACTCAAGCCTGTAAATAAAAAGGGAGAGGGCCTTCCTTTGAAAATGAATAAACAATAGTCAAACTGTGAGTGAGGAGCATTGTCATTACTGAGAGACTTTCACTCTGTTTGGCGTATAAAGAAAGTTAGCACGTGCAAAAAGACCTATTACAATTTAATCAAGCACTAGAACACAAAGTCAAGGAGCAGGTGAGACTAACTATCATGAGAGTCCAGAGGAAGAGATGGACAGCTGTGACCTGCTGACAAAGGCTCTGTCTACAAGATCAGACTCTAGTTCACCAGCGAAGGAAGGGTGGGATAGAGGTAAATTGAGAGAAGATGGGAGATTCTTGTAGGGAAAGCAGCTGCACAGCGTGGGAATAAGCTCAAGGAAGACACAGCTCATTAAATACTTTTAAATTGAGAACTTACACTACTGGGTAGTAGAACTAAAACAGCATGCTGCAAGGTAATTGCTCTTTAACTTGTTTGTATCATTTACTAGACTCC